CCCGCCGAGGCCGGCCCTTGGAGGCGGGTGTCGGAGCCCCTCCACCCCAGGACTGTCTCCTGCACCCCTTCCCCTCCCCTCAAAGCTGGCCAGTGTGGCGTCCACTTCCCCAGACCCTAAGGAGTTTCCGTCTTAAAAGGAAACGTTGAGGCCGGCTCTCCCTTTCCTTGTCTTGCAGGTGGAGAGACCCGATCCCAGACGGAAAAGATCGGCCCAAGGTGCTAAGGCAAATTAGAGTCCAAAGCCTCCAGCTCTCAGGACCCCTGCCAAGTGCCCTGGCCTCTGCAGACATGTATTCCCCTCTGGCCATGATCCTGTTTCAAGAACGGTGAATGAGGAATTCCAGAGGCCCCCAGGGTCCCTGAGAGTTAAGTTCCGTGGGGGCGGGGCCTAGTGACCGGGGGACCCCTGCTCCAGTCTGAGGCTGTGATTCCGTTGGACCTTGGGAGACACCCAAGTTGCCCAAAGGCTGCCACCCCAGGAGTCACAAGAGGGCTTGTGAATCATCCAAACAGCAGGCTTTGGATGCCGGAGGACCCTTTGGAGAAAGCACCTCCTGGCCTTGGACAACTGTGTGTGGGTCCTTTGTGTGGCTTCTGCTCTCCAGGTCAGAAGGTTGGGGAACCCTGGACTGCATCGTTTCTATTGCTGCTGTTAAGAAATCGTGACAAACTTCATGGCTTAAAACAACACCTGTTTATTATCTCACAGCCCTGGGGGGGGGGGGGGGGGGGGGTGAGAAGTCCGATGCAGGTGTTGCCAGGCTAAAATTAAGGGGTCAGCAGGCCTGGGTTCCTTGGGGGAAAAACCATAGAGGGAAAACCCACTTTCAAACTCATTTGGGGTGTTGGCCGTATTCAGTCCCTTGCAGTGGTAGGACTGGGGTCCTGCTGACTTGCTGGCTGTCAGCCCAGGTGACTTTCCTCTCATTAGCTGCCTGTGTGCCTTCTCGTGCCTTCCACAGGCCCCCCTAGGCCTCTCTCTGGTCCCTGTGTGCGGGTCCTACATCTCGGAGCCAGTCCTGGTGCATCATGTCCCTCCCACAGCTTGAAATCTTTTCCCCTTCTGCCCCATCTTTCCTACTTCCAGCCAGAGAAAGTTCTCCACTTTTAAGAGCCCCTGTGATTCGATAGGCCCACACAGACAATACGGGATAATCACCCCCTCTTCACGTGGTGACCTTAATCACATCTGGAAAGTTCATTTTGCCATGTGACCTAAGTCATTCACAGATTCTAGGGATTCTGGTGTAGACATCTTTGGGGAGTGACTGTGTGTATCGCAGGAGCCGCCTGGCCCTCTCACCCCGGGTTGTCCTATCATCTTCCTGGTTCCTTTGGGCCTGAGAAGTGATCCTGGCATACTACTGAGCTGAACGTGGGCACCAGGGCAAGGCCTCCCCATTTCCCTGGGAATGAAGGAATCACATTTCTGAGTCCCCACAGCGGGCAGGGCCAGAATAGCTGCATTTTCAGCCTCATTTTTTTCTCACTGTCTCCACTTGGGTCACCCAACCAGGCCATCCTTTAGGGCCAGTCTTCTGGGTTTTCAGGTCAAAGACCAGAGCAGAATGGCCAGGGTGAGAAGAGGAGGCTGCAGGCCTGGGCCCAGCCTGTCAGGGAGGATCAGGAGGCCTCAGACCTGCCTGTCAAACCCCCAGGGCATTCTGGAACCCAGAGCTAGCAGAGGTCTCCAGAATGAGAGGGGAAGAGGGTTCTCCATGCTCCAAGCAAGCCAGGGTTGGGCTACTTTCTGATCCCCCCACCTGGATTTCTGCCCACACTGCTCCATGATGTATCCCCACTCCCAGGGGCTGTTTTATTTGAAACCAGGCACTCCAGACAACAACACTGCTCCATGATGTATCCCTACTCCCAGGGGCTGTTTTATTTGAAGCCAGGCATTCCAGAAAGAGGCTCCGGCAGCAAGCAACACACACCCAGCGTTCCAGTGAGCTGCACGAAGCACTAACAGGAAGCTCACCTGGCATTCTGGCCAGAGGGGCTGCAGAGACTGTCCAGGTCAGGACTGTGCCCGGTACCACCTCCATCTGCACCCCAGAGCTTGTTAAATGGCCAATAGACACCTGGGCCCCACCCCAGACCTACAGAATCTTCCAAGGTGTAGGTTCAAGCACTCGCATGTCTAAGAAGCCCCTTGAGTAATTCTGATAGAGTCAAAACTTAAGGCAAATCTTCTGCTTCCCACTTTCCTGAGATCCTGAGGCCCAGATGTACCCAAGGACACAGAGCAAACTAGTGATGGTCGGTACTAAACCCTGCTCTTCTGCTTTTCACCAATATTTAAAGTCAGGCAGTATACATTGCGGTAGCCCCAAATACATAGGCTATTATACAAATATTTTACTTCCTTCCTGGCACTTCTTAGGTAAATAACATAACATACATCTACACTGCAGTAAGCAGAAGATGCTTTCCGTCCCCATCAAACGTGATTCTTAACACATCCCTGGAATCAGGAAATGAATCCCCCTTATTACTGCTCTCCCTATTAATGCTTGCTGGTTTGTTTTCCCTGGAGAGATACATAATTAAAGCAAGCAGAACAAATAAAACAAGAATTGATTGTACTGATGCCAGTTCTCCCTGCATAGCAGACCACAGCACGGCTCCTGGAGTGTCCTGTGTCTACCTCTGGCTCCTTCTCTCCCGGTGTTCTCCTAGAGGTGTGCAGGCAGTCGGAGTTCATGAAGTTGAGGAAGATAGGGTGGCAAAACTGACCTCATTCTCTTGTTCCGCAAGCCTCGTCCTGCCGCCAACTCCTGCCTTTCTGCCTGAGAGGGGCTTGCAGGCTTCAGTTTCCCAGGTGAAGGCTTCACCTCTTCTCCCCCTCACCTTCTAGCATATCATTCGTTACAGTCAGGCCCGCTGCCCTCATGGCTCATGTGCTTTAATTTGCCCACTCCTCCCTTCTCACTGCCCATCTTTTAGATCATTGCTCAGAGCCCCCTGACAGATGACTGGAATACTTGCTCAGCAGGTCTGCCTATTCCCAAACCCTCTGACCTGCAGTCCACCCTGCACTTAAGCATGACAGCTGTTCTTCCTGAAACATCTCTTTCCATTGCTTCCAGACTGAAGAATCCACAGTGCTAACTAGTCCCATGTAAACCCATTCCCCTCTGCATAAGAGGCAAGGCTCACCTACTGGCCCAAACTTAGTTCTTTCCACTCACCGGTGGGTAACGATGAAGAGTGCATCTATATGTATGTATGTATCTTCACCGCCTCCTGCACCACATTATAAGCTCTGTATAAACGTGTGGTTATTATCATCTACTCATCTCGCACCTTCCACAGAAAGCACTGAAGTACAACAAAGACAGAAAATTCTCAATAATTCCTTCTGCGTGACTAATCTTGGTTAGGATCTTCCATGGCATCAGCCAAGAAGTGCTTCTTTCTGGAAGCTTTTGGTTCTCAACCCCGTAATTTGTTTATTTAACTCAAGTCTGGAACCCCAAGGAAGAGCGGTCGTGTTTCCCCACAGAGTAAGTGGAGCTTGGGAAAGGGCTGACTCTCCTTGGATGTTCACCACGTGGCAAAACCAGACACTCCCGCTGATGGCAGCAGCTGGGGAAAAACGTGAAATCAACATGGCAGCTCAGGGTCTCTCCTGGTTTCTGAGCTCTTCAAATGGTGTCCTTCAAAGTCAACCCATTGTTGACGTCTGTTGAGAACGTTAAATGCACTTCCGCTAAGCAAGGTGAGCCAATGTTTGTCCATTCATTTATCCCTTAGAGGCTGTCAAGTCCATTTCTGTTATACAACATAAATCTGTACTTGTCAAATAATCCTCAAACGCCTTACACAGCTAATAATTTTTCAAATATTTATGAGTCCCGCAGAGGAGATTTATGTTAAGCTGCTTGACAAGGAACAATAGAGTGTGCAGGTCCAGAGAAAATTCTGTTGAAACAAATATTGTCAAGACATCAATACTTTTATAGCGTTTTTCATGAGGGACTTTCACATCTGTTCATTTCCCTAATTATCCCTGAGACTTTTATACTTGCAGAGAGAAGGAAAATGGAATTTTTTGAAAGATCATTAATTTGAAAAATTATCTGCTATATAAAGAAAAATACATACTCAGGCACGGCCATTACTAAAAATATGGTCTCGAGATGGATGCACCCGGAGAGAGATACTAAGTTGTTATGGCAACTATGATTATAATTACAAAGCTGGAGGGTTTTTCCCGCTCATTACTATGTTGAGATTTGGTGGTTTAAATGGCAGTGTCCTCTGTAACGTCCTCAGACTCATTATCACATAATTACCCATTTCATATTTAATTTTCGGCATGTTTGTTCTTACTCCCATGCCCTGTAGATTTGGCATCTTCTGATAAGCCTTATTCTTGGTTCATGGGTCCCTCTTGCAACTGAATTCCTCTCTTCACAATTGCCTCCACTCCGTGATTTCATTTTCAATTTGACCTTTGGGACACTTGCTTTGGCTTGAGATATTCCATTTGTAAACAGCAAGATGATGCTGTGAAAGCTGTTAAGAAACCACACGAACACCACTTGGGGAGACATGGAACTCAGAATAGCTAAAGCCTGCTGAGTGGCCATGGAGATCCAGCATTTCTTGGCTACCTACTATATGCAGGATAACTTACAGAAATGATCACATTTGGTCATTGTACTGGTTTCTCCGTTTGCACCCTTCTGATCTCTAGCCCTCTCAGCTCTCTTCTGTATCTGGAGGCTGACCCTTGTGGACTGAATGCCCTTGTCTTTG